TGATTAAAAACTTCAATACCGCTTGGAGAAATTTCGAGCAAAAGACACAACGGGATAACCATAATGCCAAAAAAGCTATGTGTTCTACATCAGAAACATCTTCGATGTCTTTGTCATGATAATGTGTAATATGAGTCGAATATTCCGCCCTAGAAGTGGCAAAATTAATATTATCCTCAGACATATAGTCAGGGTCGTACGTATTGCCTATTGGTTTTAGCCATGTAATAGCGACTACGTTGAATAGTGTGGGCATCATCATTCCACAAGGAAGATGAAAGGTGTAGTGGGTGTTATCCCAGAAATACAGAGAAGAAAGAAGCATGTTCAAGCAGTAGCCCGGACCTAATTTCAATAGCATGATCAAATCATAGATATCCATATCTTTCCAGGTTTGGGATTTCGTTTTCTCTAACTTTTCTAGCCAACTCAAATAATCATAAGGGTCTTTAAAAGAGGGAATTTTCAGAAATACCCTAAAATTGTTCATATACCTAAGGTTAATGGCCTCTTCCATCGAAGGAATGTCTTAGTTGGCAAGATTAGGGTCCTCATCACTAGCCTTAGGTTTTTTAGCTTGACCTATGAGTTTGTATCTATGGTAAGTTGGGAAAAAGTCCTTAAGCTTACTAGGATCAGCGTTTATATCAGACAAAGGACCAAACAAAGTTAATGGTTTACCAACAACAGAAAGAGGAATACGTACCTGGGATTCATAAATCCTTCTTTTTTTTCTTTGGCAACCGATTCAGGGAAGTACTGTTGATTTCCTACCATAGTTGGACCGGTGATGGTGTCAAACGGTGGAAGTTGAGAAATCTTTTTGGGAGCCTTCACAGGTTTGGCAGTTTCCTTGGGAGCTTTTGTGGCATCTTTGTTGGAGCGGTTTGAAGAAGCCATGTTTAAAATGAAGTAAACTGGATTGGTTGGAGAGGAATAAGATTGTGGATTCAAAGATTCAGAAAGTGTAAAAAGAAGAAAAGAAATAAAACAAAGGTACTTATAAGCATGGAAGTGGAAGCAGTTTCTGAAGCAGCATTTATGACTAAAATAGGAGTAGGACACGTGTTCTTTCCTCCATCCTTGATGAAGCGGTGGCAGTTAATACCTATCCCCATGATCTCTTAGGGTCTAGGATACGTGATGATGGTAAAAGATCTTCATGTGGGTTTTGAGGAGACGTTTTCAGGAAAAGTAATCATGACTATGACATCATAGGCGTGCTACAGAAGCTAAACCGTTTGTAGCAATGACTCATCAGATGTATCGAAATCATACATGGGTCAATCAAGGTGTCGAATAAAGTTGTTAAAAAATGTCTTTTTCTTTAGCTATCGAAAATAACATTTTTGGGGGTAATTTGTTAGCTCCCAAATTCGACTCCTAGATTTTTATTTAAGAAATAATGAAAAATAAGTACGTGAAGTAATGAATAGGTGTTTCGACATGGCCATATTAATGTAGTCGAAATGGCCATTTGTGCAAAGAGGGAATGCTGGATAAAGACATGAAGAAAAATATGCTGAAGATGGCTCGACGGAGATGGTATTTCGACGCGTAATTTGAATTCAAATAAATGAGGCAATTTTCGTTCTTATCCATATTTATGAAGCAGGACACGTGGAGTTTTCTAAGGAAGAGAGACATGTCGAACGCCACTTGTCATTTGCTCATAGGGTAACTGTTATGGTCAATTATTTTTCTACCATTATAACTAGATGGTCTTAGTGTTAGAAAAGGGTGCGTTTCAAAGATTGTACGGATTTTTTGAAAATACTCAAAGTATCCGCGTGTAGAGAAAAAGAGTATGTCAAAGAAAATGTACGTTTGATTACACCATATCTTTATGTTTTTAATGCCAATTTTATCTTTTTATCACAAATTCTATCTCTTTAATTTTCAAGTTATTTAATTGTCTTTTGATCAAGTTTCTACATTTTACTTCTTCCAAAATTCAAAGTCTTTAGTTGTTAGATCATGGATAATACGGGAATCTTTATTATTCCCTAAATCTTTAATTAAGATTTGCTAGCACGTGTCCTAGGATTTGTGCGGTCGATCCTGTACGTAATCCAATTTCTTTTAATTGAAAAGACCAACTATTGTTTACAATTTTTTCAGTAAACAAGTGTGTACAATTATATAAATATACAGAGTTATAAATTGCAATTACAAAACAAATAGTCTATCCTTCTAATTTAGAAAGATAACTCAAGAATAGAGTATTACAAACTCAAAACAATATACTCAATGAAAAACCATAACATGCCAAACTTCAAGACACAAGGTCGAGTCTTCACATCTAGTATAAAAGCACAGTAGAATGTCTCTTTAAATACCAACAACACCCAACATAAAAGCTCAGTAGAGTTTACGTATGAAAATGTCTGAATTCCAAAAAGTGCAAGAAAGACCAATCTTCGTAATGTCAATTATGAATCCTCATAAAATCAAATCTAATTAAATTTTTTTTTGATATAAATAAGAATTTCAATATCTATAATAAATAATTCAGAATAAAATTTCTTCCATATAAAAACGCACTTTAAATCAAATCTTTTATTGAAAACACAAAACAAATATTGTTAGAGCAAAATTCAATTCATTAAAGCACGCACACTAAGTAAGCAACTTGAGATAGGATGACTCACATAAAAACAAAAAAAAAAAAAAATATATATATATATATATATATATATATATATATATATATATATATATATATATATATATATATATATATATATATATATATATATATATATATATATATATATATATATATATATATATATATATATATATATATATATATATATATATATATATATATATATATATATATATATATATATATATATATATATCACATAAAGTTTAAATGAATTGAACTTCAAAAACACAACACACACAAAGATGTGCTCACATCAGATCGGATGTATGAATCAAATCCTTACCATTGAACAAATTAGTACATTTGTATACTTTTAATGCATATTTAAACCTCTATTTTTGAACTATTGCTTGATTTTGACAAATTAAGGTATCAAAGGAATATATTCATAAAGCAAAACCGTTAGTGATTCCCAAATTTTATATTATCTCACATGATTGACCCATAGGCGGAGACAAGGAGAATTTGAGGTGCCAAGCAATCGATTGTCGAACATATACATATTCATATTCTGTACATTTTTCAATAACGGTATAAAAAGTCTAGAACCTTCCTTAACTAAACATATTCATGGTATAATGTTGCTAATCATAAAGAAACTTTAAAGAAGAGTTTGGAGTATAAAGGTATTCCACTCACAAATTTACAGCCACAAACAAAAACTGAGATTAAGTGGTGGTGCCTTGAGGTCACTTCATATAAAACAAGAATCACATGCCAATGTATCACTTTTGATAGTGAACTAAAGAACTGTATGTCAGTGCTACTATAGCAAGAAAGATACGAGTAATGAAATTGTTGTCCTTTTTAAAGTAATTACATAATTTGGTTCTAAATTGGACCAAGACCCAAAACCATAAGAAATTCAACGGTTCGGCCCATGAAAAATCTATCTTTAGAGCCCAGACCCTTGCAGTTTCTAGAACCGTAACACCATCATCATTCATGGGCCTCAATGGTGGTGAGGGTATCACCTAAGTTTAATGTGGAACGCTTACATTTTTATTCTTCTTTAACCATCACCTACTATTTATAATAGGGTTAAATATATTTTTGATCCTATAAAATTATTAAATTTTATTTTTGGTCTTTATAAAAAAGTAGTGTGTTTTGATTTTTACAAAATAATTATGCAGGTAGTTTTAGTCCATATTGTTAAATTAATGTGTATTTTTAAATGATTATTTTGCAAATATGTTTAGAATATTATAAAAGGTTTTTCGAAAAAAAGAATTCAAAACTTGATTTATAAATCGAGATTTTCATTACTTTTATCATTATCTTTTAAAATTTAAAAAATTCATATTTAATTCTTCTCGTTTTAAAAAATTATATAATTTGGTAAAGAAACATTTTATAGCAATCTAAACACGTATGAACAAAATTATTCAAAAATTTAAAAATTTAAGGGTAATTAAATAGTTTTCAAAATTTTAAAAAATAGCAGGGACTAAAACTGCATGTATAAAATTTTTGTAAGGACCAAAATATGTCATTTTTTTTATAAGGACTAAAAATGAAATGTGAGATATTTATAGAGAGGGATCAAAAACATATTTAACCCATTTATAATATAAGAAAATTAGATGGTGTGATTTTTTTTTTCCTTTCTACTAAATTTGCCACCTCATCAAAATGAAGGTAAATTTTGGTCCAAAAATTACTTTTTGCAACTAATGTTGTCACATTGTTCAATTTCAACCACATATTTATTGTATTATACCTTTAATTGCTATGTTTGGTTCAATTGATGATGTCACGTGATTTAATTGGAATTTCTTTTTCTCTTTTATCTTTTTCTAATGTCAGATCCAATTCAAATTTCTTTTCTTTTTTCTCTTTTCTCTTTTCTCTCGCTTCTAACATGTCACTTTTCACTTACCTCTTCTCTCACTTCTCTAACTTTAAAAATCATCTTTCTCTTCCTCTTTCGCAATGGATCGAGGATGAATATGGAAGGTTGGTTAGGGTTATGAGCGGACTTTCTAGGTTTGGTTGAAGGATATGAAAGAAGAAACCTTGGTAAAAACGTAAATCCATTTTCTATAGCAATGAGATTGTTTCCGGTAGATTGTGAGTGTGGTGGTTCAGTCTATCGTCGGTGATGCACTGGGAAAAAAAAAAGGGCGGATTTGTTGTGCACGTTGGTTGTCGATTTCTATGTTAACACAATGGTATGGTGAAGGTGATGATTATTGATGAAATGGTTGTTGTGTTTTATTGACTGAAATGACAATGGTGAGGATATGTTGGATTTTGAGTTTTGACTATAGTCTTTCACCTTTAATTTCGGGCCTCCGCATGAAATTTAGAATATTTTTCAATTTCATGTGTCTGGAGAGTGTTCTACATCCTCACCTGAAAGGCTCTCAATGTCTTCTTTTTCTTTTTCTTCTTCTTCTTTACCTAGTTGGTCCACAACCTTATAGTCACTCTTCTTGATTATTTTCAAAAATTCATCGTCACCCTCTTGAGGTATTGTCTTATTTGAAGGTCCATTATCTGAGATTGAACTCGAGACCTCTTTGCCTTTGGATTTCTCGGGAACCTTCCTTTGTGTTTGTTCTGGAGCAAAAACCCTACCACTTCGTGTCACTCCTCCAATGCCTGCTATATTGGTGACATTATGTTCTAACACTAATGGATTATCTCCTACATAGCCCGTGGCTCCGTAATTCCAAGGTACCGCCTTAGTGCTATCAAATGGGAATGGCGTAGGAAAACAAATCACCAATGGAGATTCTTGAGCATCCTGCTTCAAGTATGGGATCTCGAGAGGTTCTAGTGTGGAAATGCTTTCTTCATTTTTTGTACGGCTTATCTGGACCATCCCTTGATTTATCAGCTCTTTTAGACACCTTTTCAATTCTTTACATTCCTCTGGTGAGGATAAACATGCTTCATAAAATCCATGTACTTCTTGGATTATCCCCGCTTCAGCTAGCTTCTCACAGATGATCAACATAGGGGTCTTTATCGTTTCAACATCTTTTATTGTTTTGGCTTCAAGGCACTCTTTGATAGCATTTACATTCGGACCAGAATGTTCGGGCATTAGGTTGTTTTCACATTTGGAGCCATCTCTTTGAAGGTTAATTGTTTGGCATTAATTAGCTCTTGTACCTTATACTTGAGAGACTTGCAGTTATCTATGGTATGATCAGGTGATCCACCAAGATACACACATTTGGCATTGATGTCAAAGCCTGGTGAAGATGGTGTTATTAAATATGGGAGAGCTTTTGGTGTGACCCATCCTTGGTGAATCAAATATGGAAAAATCTGACTGTATGGCACATGCAGTGGATCAAATTGTAGAATCTTCCTCTCATAATTATTTCTTGGTCTCGGCTGATTCCTTAGCGGATATCCACTTTGTTGTTGGTGTTGATTTTGTGGAGGTATTTCCAGAGGTTGTTGAAGCGGAGGTGTCGAGAATCCTTATGGTGGATAATGACTGGAAGTTACGACTGATACATATGGATACAGGAGTAAGGCACCCAAGTTGAGGGTACTTGATGAGATCCCATTATCGCATTAGTTTCTCCTTCCTTCTTTTTTTGAATTGAAGTTAGAAAACTTTTACGTACTCGTCTGTCCACCGAATGCCCCTTAGATTTTTCCAGTCTTCAGACCCTCTTAATTTTTTTTACCAATAATTACTAGAACATAAAATATAGATGATACGCTCACAAGCATTCTTTCATAATACTAACTTAGAAGAGTGCCAATGAATTGGTCTACCAGCTCTCTTTCGAGGAGTGGGGGTTGTACGTGAGATGCAATCTCCCTCCTGTTGGCTGGAATTTTGATGCACATGAAGATTTGAAATGAGCTTGTGGGATTTGAAGAAATATCTTTAAAATGAATATTTTGTTTTTGACAGAAAGGTTTTTCAAGGATATAGTCGAAGAGGATTTTTCGCATAAAGGAAGCTACGGTCTAGGACTTAGAAATATTTTGGTCTAGACTTGAGTTTGACAGGGTTGTTTAGAGTAGCGTTCGACGGATACAATTCAAATGAGGTTGATAACTTTTTTTGGCCTTATCCGTTACTTTGAGACATGTGGAGAGCTTTGGGCAGCAAAATGCATGTTGTCGCTTCCGCGAAAACAAGGTGCCGGCAAAACAGAAGAGTCGCCACCTTTTGTTATTTATCCCTCAGAGCGGGAAAGGAAACGATCGGAAAAACCTGACGAAGAGGTATATGTTGCACCCTAAAATTTGACCAACCGGTGCCACTTTCGGTTTATGCTTCGACGCATTTTCGCATTCGCATTTGCATACTGCATACAATGCATTTTTCCAGTTATATTGATTTTATCGGGATTACAGCCCTGTTGTCGCTTTTCGGGTATCTCAGACCGGTTTGGATAATCGGAGGTTATTTTGAGAAGTCGCGCGCTTCCTGGGTGTTTTCAGTTCGCAGTGATTTTTGAGATTTTTGGTGTCCGGGTTACTGTTTGCTTCGATCTGGTCTCGCGCTCTCTTTTATGTTGGTTATTTGCCTTTGTTTGCATTTTTTAGGATTTAATAGCCTTTTGTGGATTTTAAATAGGCTTTATAGATTTTTTAGAATTTAAATAGTTTTTTTAAATATTTTTAATAGCTTTAAATCATTTTTTTAGAATTTATAGAGTTTTTTAATAGGTTTTAATAGTTTTAATAGTTTTAATAGAATAATAGAATTTCTTTTAAATAAATAGTATAGATTTTAGTAGAAATTTAATAGGATTAATAGAAATGATTAGAGTTTGTTTTTTTAATTAGATGTTAATTCTTTTTTTAGGTTTAACAGAGATTAATTAAGATTTTAATCTTTTGTTTAGGGTCTTATTAGAGTTTATCAGGATTAATTAGATTAGTTTAATTTTCATTTAAGATTTAATTGCAGTTTTTAATTTTAGTTAGAGTTAATTAGGCTTAACCATTAGTTAATTAGTTAATTAGGTTTTCATTTAGTCTTTAATTAGTTTTTAATTAGGTTTAATCCATTTTTAATTCAGAGTTTTGGGTTTATTGAACTAATTTTTCGTTGGGCCCAGTTGTGTTTTTTGGAGGCCCAGAATTTCTCAGTCCAGAAACGCCACATGTCAATATAAAAGCAAGGACACGCGTGTCATCAAAAAGAGGCCACCTCATAATTCACTTCACCCAGAATTCAGACACACCACCCTCCACTCTCTCCTCTCCCCTCCACGTGGCCATCATGCAGCCTCCCTCACCGCCACCTGTCGTCGCCTGAACCTCACCGGTTGCATGGCCGGCGGCCATGCAACCACCGTCTAACCCACCGTAACCTCCAATCGCCGGCAGCCCTAACAAACACCTAACCTACTCCGGCCACCACAACCGTTCGCCGGAAACCGCAAAACTCGCCGGAAAACTCATCTAACTCAAGAACACGCATCCAGCAACCATCGACATTCCTCCAGATTACTTTGATCCATCTCCAAATCCGCCGGAAAATTCATCAATTCACCAGAAATTCACCAGATTCAAGAACAATTTCCAGAAATCTTCAACAAACTCTCAAGAACCTTCATGCATGTTCATCGATTTCCCTCAATCTTCAAGTAAGTTCCCCAGAAAGCCTTCATCTATGTTCGTTGTGTTCTTCACGCTTTGCAGTTTCTTTCATCCAAGAACTTCCCAGAGTCTCCACGAAGCTTCAACAAGATCTTCAAGTATGATCTTAGTCATCAACATCAAGCGAATCCTCTTCCCAGCAACGATCATCAAGAAACACTTCGAGAACTATCAACATCTTTCAGAGATCTCCCTCGACGACCTTCAACCCTCAACCACCTTCGTCAACGAATCTGGATTCGAACGTCCACCGTCTTCGCATCAACATCACACGGAACAAGATCTGAGCTCAAATCTTCGTCATCAATACTCAAACGCCTTCGGATCCTTTGCCATTTTCGTGTATCATCACATCTCGAAACTCCATCTTGGAGAATTTGAGTTATTGTTCGGATCTCGAAATATCATCTTGAAGAACATGAGTTTTGTCCTTCAGATCTGAAGACTCCTCCATCATCTATTGAGCCAACCTTCGTTAATCCTTCATGCAAGAACTCAAGATCCCAGACTCGGCAATATCTTCCTCGAACGCGTCCAAGTTCTTCGTGATGAGTCCACTAATCTTCGCCTCTGTTTCTTTATTTTTTTTAATAATAAACGTCTTTGTGGAAGATTGAAATCGGAGTTTCTGGTGGTTTGTTTTTGATGGAAACGGAAAATGAAGAGATTGAAAGAGAGACGATGAGAGGAGAGGTTGGATATTGAGAAGCGGCATGAACAGTGTTCTTTTGGGGAGAAAGAGGAGACTAGGGTTTTCAGAGGATGGGAGGAGAAAAGGGAGAAAGGACCGTGTGTGGATTGGGCCAGGCCCAATCATTCGTCTGATTCACACCCCTCTGTTTTTCGTTTCCCACCCCTCTGCGTTTTTTTTTCTTTGCTGAACATGGGCCAAGCCCAACGTGCATGCTGGGCACACTCCTAGTTTCAGTAGTATACCCCCTCCCTATGTGTGTGTTTAGTTTAGTGGGCTGGGCCCTGGTTCAGTTTTAGGTTTTACACACCCCTGTATGGACTTTGTACCCCCTTCCCCTTTCATATTTTCTTTTTTTGTGTTTCTTTTAGTTCTTTCTTATAGAATATGAAGGAGAGTATATAAATAATGGAGAAAAAAAATGTGAAAAGAATATTTGAGAAAAGAGTATGGGAGAAAATATTGAAAAAAGAAAATATTGAAAAAGAATAGTGGGAAAGAATATGATAAAAATATGAAAAAAGAATGTGAGAATAAAGGAGAAAAATAGTAAAAAAAAAAAGAAAATATTGAGAAAAAATAGTAAAAAAAATGAGGAAAAGATTCAAGAAAAAGAATATTGAGAAAAAAGACTTGAGAAAAGAATATGGAAAAGAATATGTGAAAAATAAAGAAATAAAAAAAAAATAAAGAATATATAGATGTTGATATTTTTATTTTAGGACAATTTTTCATAGAGTTTATTTCACCTTTTTAGGGATAGTTTTAAATGTCCATTTGTTAGGGGACTTTTTACACTTTTAGAGGTGGTTTTAGAAGTCCACTTGTTAGGGGACTATTTTCCATTTGATTTTTTTCCAGGATAGTGGGATAGTTTCTAGGAGATTATTTTTCAGTTCTCAATCATTGTAACCATTTTTCAGAATATTAATAAAACGAGATTTGAGTTGTGGTCCCGAAAGTAGCCGAACTACAACTGCTCTGATTTCTCGTACCAGACGAGAATATGTAGGCATAGGATGCGATATCCTAGCGAGCACACTAACAACTAACCTTTTGTTCTCTCGCTGCTGTGCGATCGAGACTTTCCCGCTGATGAGTGATGTTATCCTTTTCTCTTGCCCGAGTGCATTTGAGACCAGACCGTAGCTTTAGTTCCCATAGGTTCCCGTACCTTTAAAACCAGATTAATTTCTCACTCCTGTGTGAGAACACCCAGCCTAGCCGTAGTTAGCCTGAACTACGTAAGCTCTGATCTCCCATGCTGTGTGGAAGTACGTAGGCACAAGACGCGAAGTCTTGGCGAGCCAATTTCCCCGTAGTCCCGAACTACGTTGACTCTGACTTTCTCTCTTGAGAATACGTAGGCATAGAGTGCGACGCTCTATCGAGTCAATTCCCTTCCGTTTAGATTTAGCAGCCGTAGATAGATTGTTTTGCATCCTTTAGACAACCCAAGCAAGCGTGGATCCCGTCGAGTACGACGGACGTGAGGGGTGCTAATACCTTCCCCTTGCGTAACCGACTCCCGAACCCAGGTTTTGGTTGCGATGACCATACCTTTCCCGTTTTTTTGCGAGGTTTACTTCGAGCGTTTCCTTTCCCTCCTTTGGGATAAATAACGCACGGTGGCGACTCTTCTGTCAGCCGGCGCCGATTTTCGCAGTAGCGACAGCTGGCGACTC